TCATCATCATCATCATCATCATCATCATCATCATCATCATCATCATCATCATCATCCCACTGGTGTTTAGGGTAACCCGCCGCGGAACCCTGTGCGCAACCGAGCTCAAGTCGTTATCCCGTTGATAATCCTTGAAGGTTGCTTTCAGGTTGCTAGATCGAAACATGCTGAACAACCTTCCTAAGAAATCCAAGCAAGTGACAATCTTGCCATGTTCAAAACAACGCCCAAACCAAAACAAACTGTGCACCATCATGCAGAGTGCCCATCTTGCAATGGATGTTGTTTAAGTTGAAAATCCATGAAAATCATTGAAAATCCTTGCTCGGATCTCAGCGGCCTCCTGCGTTCGCCCAAAGCGATCGTACCTGGGCGGGGGATCGACTTAGAATGCCCCGAGTTGGCCTGTGGCACACGTTCTTCTCGTACTCGGATCTATTTCCAACAAGCTGTGCCAATCTGCCTCTGTTGAAGACACCTTCCGACCGAATTTGCATGTTGGGTCTTCTCATGGCACTTCATGACTTCAACTGCAAAGAATTTGCATTGTTCCTATAGACATGCAGAACCCTTTACAACGGTCTCTGTCTTCAACAAAATACAGTATATAGTTGCTTCTCCTTCCTGACCCCAACAACTTGTCTCTGAGGGCTCTGGCAGGGAGCCAAACTTGTTGTGAAACTCAATCACCAGAGCTCTTCCTCAGTCTTTGCGTCTTGGCAGAGCTTCCACATGGACCCTCTACGCTTGATTAAATCCACATGAAGAGATCCCCACCCCACTGATACCATGTCGACCGACATAGTGCGAGCGAAAGAAATCCGTCGTTTGTATGAGGAAATGGCAAGCGGAGCATCCTTCATGATTCATCATTTGTAAAATCTGGGTCAAAGACCTTAGAGCAACCCTGATGTACACTGTACAAAGTCACTAAAGTGCACAGAGTTTCCACAGGCATGGAAGGTCGGGTATGCTCCTTTTGTATAGTCAGTTTGCTTTGATCAAGTCGGGAATGGAGTCGAGCCTTCAAAGAGCCTTTTTATAGCCTGCACGCATGGTCCAACCTCTCCCATTTCTCCTCCCAAATCACCAGAATGCTGCAGGAACTCCTTTTTGTTGACAAGTCTCTGGTCTTCGTGTCTGAATTTTCAAAGGCGCCCTTCCAAGACTTCGCGAAGGCCAAAGCATGAAGTGACCACTCTGGCCACGCGTCAGCTGACCAGGTCGCCACGTGCGTCAGTGCTTTCATTCCTGCATCAGCCCAAGGCATGGCCGAAGGAGGCCCCTTTGGGCCAAAGACGTGCATCAAACGACCAACTCCCCAACCAGCCAACAAACCAAACGACAAGCATCCATTCACAAAGACAAAGCTGCACCTTGGGACATGAGTCACATGAGCTTCTCCCGTCCTTCATCCAAGCGTAGCGTCACCTTTGCCATGGACTCCTCTAGCCGCGGGTGAGGCTGTCCGATCTTCTCGCTGGCAGGAGTCACCAAGCAGGACCTCACACCCAGTCGCCGCGTCACCGATGGTGGTGAAATCTCAGTCCAAGGGTATTTTTTTGCGTCGGTCGAACAATGCCTCGCGATTCCGGATGAGATGATATCCGATGCATGTTCATTCATGTTTGAAGGAGATTCACTTCGCGAGGGTAGGCCTTTTCGCAAACACTGTCCTTTGTTCCTTGTAGATCTGGCCCACACAAATTGCAACACCCCAAACCCATACTTCTATGAGCCTATGACCTCTCATTTCGGATCCAAAGATATCATTCCTCGACAGCATGATTTGGATGGCCACCAACAACCCCCAGTCCCAGTCCATGCTTCTCTATGCGGCCTCAGGTGCCAGTTTTGGACCGGACCGCGAGGATGTACCACGACGCGCGCGCGCGCCGTGCCACCACGTACCGCGCCTCAAGGTCTCGCGCGTGCGCCGTGCCACCACGTAGTGGTCGCCTGAGCGTCGCCGGCGCGCGGCGAAGATGCGTCGGGTGCTGGAGGAGTCGCCCCGTGTTTTTTCTTGTTCCTGGTAGCTTCTTGTTACTAGTAGTAAGGCACTTGTTACTAGTAGCGATGCACTTGTTTCTACTAGCTTCTTGTTCCTAGTAGTTTCTTGTTACTAGTAGCAGTTGCGATGCCCTTTGTTACTAGTAGCTTAATTGTGCGTGCCTACAGAGCACAGGGCTTGAGGAAGGTGCAGCTGTTGACTCCACCCAAATGAGGTGATTTTCAGCATGCCGCGTGCTCTCCTCGACGAAATGGACCTCTCTGGAGCTAGCTGTCTCCGAACACTCGATCTTTAGATACACTGGCATGCCATTGCCTTCATTCTGCTACTCTTCGTGGACACCTCTCATGAACTACCCAAACAGGGTGACCGTCAGTGCTTTTTCAGCTTTGCAGGGGAGGCGAACGCCTGACCTGTCACCAGTCACTGGCAAATCAACGAGTACGTACAGTAGAGGGACCCTCAAAACATGGAATCTCTGTCTTTCAGAACGTTCACACGTAGATTAGATTGATCGTTCTGTTGAATGACAAAAATATACAAAAATTGATTAAATATCGTTATATATTCTAGTTGGTGATAGTTGATGTATCCAACTAGAAATGGAGACGGACAAACAGACACATTTGGCTGTGGGTCAAAACCAGGGTAATTACCAAGGTTGGCCCACCTGGAAGGTCAAGCTACATTGTGTTTTGGGCTCGAGGTTTTGACCCATTCCTATTTGGTTTCACAACTCAAGACAGTGGTGCAACCATGGATCTACGGCCAGTTGGACGTTGGTTGTCTGCTCATCAATGAGTTACTTGTGACTTGCACTCTAAAGGCTATGGGTGGCATCGGCACGTCTTAATCGTCTTTGTCACATACCTCTCAGTGGTTGCAGCAGCTATACAAGAGACCACTTTCACTTTGTTTCACCGAGGTTCTCTTCACCTTTAACAGCCCCACAGCTGTGCCATCACTGCGTTCCAGGTAGAGCACCGCACCTACCAGCTCGGGTCGACCACTGGGGATGTCTCGCATGCCAGCTCGTGTCACCGAGACCTGTGGGGTCGTTCTTTTTGTTTCATCATAGTGTCATTCGTTCATTCTATGTTCATCCTTTTAGCCCAAGCTGGTTTCACCTTTGATGCACCATACTTTGCAGCGGAGATTGCTCCGTGTCACAAGGAGTCTAAGAACCAATCATGTGAACATGTTCCTAGCTTGGAGGAGTCAAGAAAAGTCCATCAGCTGTGTCCCGCCATGTCGTGCGGGAGGATGATCCATTTCTTGGAAGCACTCGGAAGGAACCCACCAGGTGAACCCCTGAAGCGCTGTGCGGGTGATGATGCGTGATGCGTGTCAAGTGCTTAGAATCGAAAACCAAACCCACAGGCTGACTGGGTTGCCCAACTCATGGACCCGACTTAGGAGCACAGAAACTGACAAAACACCCGTGGTAGATGAAAGGCACGTGTCCACCTCCTTGTGACAAGCCATCATGTTTAAAAGAACGCAAGCAAAAGAGATCAGTTTCTGCTCAATTCACCTCCCGTGATCATTCCATGCCTCCCACCTTCGGTGGTGGTACTCTTTCGAATCTCCTCCATGACCTTTGGCAGTTGCTGCATGTCGCTACACGGCTCCATCCTTGGCTCGGTGCGAACCATCCGCACCGCGTCGGCGGGGCTCCCCACTCGGGAACGGAGGGATGAGTCGACGTGGTTCCTTGCCGATGGAAATGAAAAACACGTCGATGGCGCCTTTTCCTCAACGCAAGTCAAGAAAGCCAAAGGGAAACAGGATACACGAGAACAACGAGCACCACAACGACAAAAACAATAACGAGAACAACAACGCTTGCCTCGATTCAAACACCAACAACAAACAAGAGCAAAAATGACGGCTTTCCCGACTTTTTGTAGGTTGTCGGACCCCCACCGAGCCTGCCTGTCTCTGACGCCTACACCTGCCCTATGCCTTCAAAGAGCCAGAGAAAGAGAAAGAGACAGAGCGAGAAAGCAAAAGAGAAAGAGAAAGAAAAAGAGAAAGAGAAAAGGGAAGAGAAAGATAAAGAGGAAGAGAAAGTGAAAGGGAAGCCGAGAGAGACAGAGAAAGAACCAGAGCAAGAACCAGCGGACGAGGAAGGGAAAGACCAAGAGGAAGA